AGCCATGATCATGCCATTACTTTCCAGCCTGGGTGGCAGAGTAAAACCTCAACTCAATACTATAATTAATAATAATAATAATAACTATCTCATAGGAATGTTATGAGGATAACAGAAACTAATATGTGTGAAGTCTTTAGAACAGCACCTGCCACATATTCGTTCCCCTTTTTGTTTTTTTGTGGGGTTATTTTTGGTTTTTTTGAGTTGGAATCTCACTCTGTCGCCCAGACTGGAGTACAGTGGCCGCTCCCGGCCACCACAGCCTCGACCTGCCGGGCTCCGGCGATCCTTCCACCTCAGCCTTCCGAGTAGCCGGAATTACAGGCGCGCACTACCACGCCCGGCTAATTTTTTGATTTATTGTAGAGATGAGGTCTCGCCTGCCCAGGCGGGTCTCGAACCCGTGGGCTCAGGCAATCCAGTTCCCCCTTTTGAACACTTACTGTCAAGCACCATGAAAAATATTGTTCATAAATGTCTCATTCTTCCATCACAAAAGCCCTACGAAACCAATACTATTGTTATTTACCATCTATAGGGAAAAGGGAGGCTCTGAGAAACTGAGTCCTGTGCTGACGATGACTCAGCAGATACGCAGGGGATGTGGAGCTGAGTTCGGGTGCCTGACTTCCAGGCCTGTCTCCATCTTTATTCCACACTGTCTGTGTGTCCCCTTGGCGCTGCGAGGTGGACTTAGCTAAAGCAATTCTACTCTCCAGCACGGGACTGTCCTTCTGTCCTTTAGGTGGGCACTCATTACAAATATTAGATTGACCCACAAGTTATCCCTTTTTTCAAAGTTTACATTTTTTTATTTTTTATTTTTCTATTCAGTGGCTTTAGAGGATACAAATAGTTTTTGGTTGCATGGTTGCATTGTATAACGGTGAAAGAGTCTAGGCTTTAAGTGTACCCTTCATTGCCACCTGTGTGCATTGTACTCAATAGGTGACTTTTCATCCCTCCACCTCTTCCCCCCTCCGGAGTCTCCAGTGTCCGTTATACCATTCTCTCTGCCTTCGCAGATCCTTCATTTAGCTCCCACGTATAAGTGAGAACATGCAGCGTTTGGTTTTCTGTTCCTGAGTTAGTTCGCTTAGGTTGATGCTCTCCAATTCCATTCAAGTTGCTGCATTCTTTTTAATAGTCAAATAGTATTCCATAGTGCATATATACCACATTTCCATTATTCACTGAGCAACTGATGAACATTTAGGTTGATGGCACATCTTTGTGATTGTGAATTGTGCTGCAGCGAACATGCGGGTGCAGGTGTCTTTTTATATAATGACCTCTGTTCCCTTGGGTAGATACCTAGTAGTAGTAGTAGGACTGCTGCATCAAATGGCAGATCTACTTCTAGTTCTTACAGTTTAAGTTAAATCATCCTCCAGTTCCTGATCAAAGGTTGAAAATCGCCAACGTTGGAAGTCAGGTGTTGTCTTTTCTGATGATGGAGACTCAACTTCCATTGTCCAGAGCCTAACTGCCTTACACCTCTCACCGTTAGGACCACGCTTCACTTATTTAAATTTCAAACCTTTCTTTTCTTCCTTAAAGTAATTTGAATAACTGAACCAAGTTAAAGATTCGGTGACAGCGAATTACCCTGAGGTCAGCAAGGTAATAATAGGCCCCGACACCTTTTTCTCTTTACCTAAGAGCTTCCATTTTTAAAGTTAATTTCATCCCTGTGGACCCAAGAAATCTTGGTTTAACTCCTATGCCCACTGGGCTGTCTGAGCAGATATGTTAATCATTCTCATTTCTATTAAAAGTTCACATTTATTAAAATGTGAAAGTTTATTAAAATAAAACTACGGTGAAACACATTTTAGTCGTTGGGTATGTAATTCTGACGGAAGAAACCAAATTACAGATGAAGTCGGTCAATGCCAAGGAAAAACCTGCATTGCCCGGCATGGCCACGGGGAGACGCTAGAGAGAGGTGAGCCGGCCTTCCCCAGTCACCTGGAAGCAAGGACTCCTGGGCAGATACTGTCGGCTGCTTGCTGACCTGGGTTTGTGTGAATGCCATGGTCCCTGTGACACACAGACTTGCTTAATGCCTCCAACCCTCCATTCCTGTATCTGAAATTCTGGAATATTCTGGACAACAGACAAAATAGAATGTTGAAACAGCTGTGGATACACTGCACTTGGGGGAGAAAAAAAAAAGCTGACCTGGAATCCTGAGTTTGAATCTTGGTTCTTCTACTTTACGAAAAAAAGTCAAAGGATTGTTGTTGACTAATGCCTACGGTATAATACAAGACACTGTGCCAAGTCCTGGGAATCGGACAGTAATAGCTGATATTCATGGGACATCAGTATTGTGCCAACATCTTTATCCCATGTTCCCTGTGAGATGCATGCTTATTTGATCCTCATTTTACAGATGGGGCACTAACTTTGGGCTTATGTAACTCCCCTAGGCCAGTGAGCCAGGACTCCAGCTCCAACATCCTGACTCCCAGCCAGGACTGGGGACCCATCTTGCTGTGCTCTGTCCCATCCCATTTTATCAAGGTGAGTAATTGGGCCCTTGCCTTTGAAGAGCTCAGCTTAATGGAGGAGCAGGGACTGTGAAGAGGCGGGTGACGGAGGGAGGTATTCTGGGCCACAAAGTAAGGACAGCGTGTCTTAGAATCATGCAAGTCGGAGCAATTAACTCCACACGGAGATGTTTGGGAAGGCTTCACAAAGGAGGTGATATTTTTGCCGGGTCTTGAAAGTTGGCATTCTCCTCCTTACCCTCCAACCTCCACTTTTAAAAAACAAGAGGTGTCTAAACAGGAGAAGAGCATGTGCCATGATGCAAACAACAGAAGGAAAGAGCCAGCGAGTGAAGGCCGGAGGTAGGAGATACGTCCGAGAGGGACTTGGGTCAGCTCAGAGAGAACCTTGTGTGACACCGCAAGAGTTGGACTTCATCTGATAGTCAAAGTGAGCAGCTGAAGGGTTTTAAGGTAGCTGCAAAGTCTCTGCCCTGTGTGGTATGGATGAAGACAGACACAGCAAGGAGAATGAGCTGGCCTGGGAGAGGCAGGGGTGGGGAGCCCAGGTGAGAAAGAGTTATGATATCCCAGATTGGAGAGGATGAGAAAGTCCTTTTTTTTTTTTTTTTTTTCAGAGTCAGGGTCTTGCTCTGTCAACCAGGCCGGTGCACTGTGGTGCGATCACAATTCAATTCAGCTTCTACCTCCTGGCCTCAAGCGATCCTCATTCCTCAGCCTCTCAAGTAGCTAGAAATAAAGGTGCACATCACCACGTCTAACTTACATATTTTTTTGTAGAGATGGGGTCTTGCTATATTGCCCAGGCTGGTCTCAAAATCCTGGGTTCAAGTGATCCTCCCACCTCAGCCTCTTGCTGGGATTACAAGCGTGAGCCACCACACCCGGGTTCGAGGTGCCAGTTCCCTTGTGCCTGCATCTCTGCTGTGCAAGCTTGCCCACCCATCCCGTGGAAGTCTCGGGGCCCAGCCCTACCCTAGGGCTCTCCACACCACACCTCCTCCCTGTCCCTGTCTCTTCTGACCACTCAGTCCTTGAAGACAGGATGCCATATTTGAGTTTTGTTTTTATTTTACAAGAATATAACATGCTGAAACAGGAAATCAGGGATCACATACATAATTCATCTCTAGGAAACCAGCTCCATGTGTCAACAACAAATAAATATTTAAACAATGAGGAGTTCCTGGCGGGCTCTCCCAGGTTCCCAGCACGTTCAGAGGTAGAGTCTGGTGGCCGGAGGGGGACAGTCAGGCTGCACCTCCTGCTGAGATGCTCCAGTTGAGGCAAACGGAAGAAGTCACGATCATAAATAACAACAGCACCAACAATAACAGGAAGAATATGCTACGACAATCGAAACAAGAGCAACGATGCGAAACTCTTACATAAGGTTCTCCTGGAGGAGCTCAGGGTGCAGAGGGAACAGTGTTGGCGACCTGGGGCCATGAGAGGCTGCCCTGGTGATTCACCTGCCAGCCTGGGCTCGGGCCCAGGGAGTCCCGCCCAGGAATGTGTTCAGTGATGCCTTGAATTCACAAGCAGGTTCTGACCTCTCCAGTCCTGCCTCCCCAGCAGCCCCGGTCCCCAGCTTTGCTCCTGGCTTCTACATTCTGCCCAAGGGCATCACGGTCCCTGCAGGGTACCTCATGCCCATAGGAAAGGAAGCACGAGGCCCCTCCCATCCCAGGGAGTTTCTTCCCCACCCGCCCCCACCGTTCTCACACCCATGAAAAACACTGGCTCGACTTCAGCAGGACTTTAGGAACTGCTAAAACATTTGTTTTAGGATCTTTTTCTGTCTTGTTCCACACAATCTGGAAGGCCACCTCCTCCCCTTCTCCTCTGGGGCTGCCCTCCAAGGGCAGCCCAGAGCTCAGAGGGGACACATCCCAGCAAGAGGCCTCTCAGCGGGCTGCTCATAGGCCAATTCTGCCGAGACTGACTTCATACGGGCCACATGGCACTCGCTCACAGGCCAGCATTAGAGGTACAGAAGTCTCATTTGGGGCCAGAGTCACATCGACTGGCTGGCCTTGACAAGACTGCAAGGTTGGCCACACATGAGTGCTAGCAAGTACAAGCTTAGGGGTCCTGGGTAGCCCAGAGGTCGCTGAGAAACACGGAGGGGAAGGCTCCACACCCTCGGCCCCTTCCGTGCCCAGAACAGCCTGGGAATAGGAAAACAGGATGTGATCAGAGTTGACTGATCAACAGGCAGAACAGCTGAGCTGGGCATCTTATCCCTTCTCGTTTTCAAGTTTCCCTTTATCCGCTGGTTTCCTAAACCTCCTGGAAGCTGTCCTCCTCCAGCGAGGACAAGAGCCAGTGCTCACTCGGGCACCACCCTCCTCGGCCCCCAGAGCATCCCACACAACCTTGCCATTAGCCCTTATTCAAGGTCCTGGAAGAGGGCTGGCCCCCCTGGGTGCACAGAGTCGAGTCCCACAGTATCTGCTGCTCCCCAGAGGGGCTGCTGGATGGCTTCTTCGTTCGCAGTCCTCTTTGCAGAACCTGCCTCCCCCTCGGGGGCCGCCTCAGGGATGGGTGACTCAACCTCCCCTCTTCCCAGCTGGCTTCCTCCCTGCCATGGAGGCTCAGGTGTGAGAAGGCTCGGCTACGTTGCAGCTGGACGGAGAGGCTGAGCCCGCCGAGGCCTGGGAGGCCAGGTCTCGGTAAGCGGGTGACTTCAGGAAGCGCGGGTAGGAGTCCTTCTCCATCAGGGTGCGCGTCTTCCCCTGAGCCATGTCGAAGCACGTGGCCGAGGCGGCCTGCAGGTTAGTCCTTGTCAGCTCCCGGGTCTCATGGTCGATGTTCACCTGTGGGAAGGAGGGCGGTGCAGGGTGAGGAGGAGGAGGAGGGCAGGCGAGACGGGGGGTCTACTGGCTGGGGAGGGAGTCACTGACTGGCAGGTGGGGCGTCAGGAGCCTGCAGGCTTCTGAGTCCATCACTTACTGGCTTTTTAGCCCTGGGCCTGTCTCCACATCTGATCCAGGGTCTGCTCCCCAATCTCAGAGTGAGCATGGGGACGTATTAAGGATGTCTTCTCCCCTTCTGCTGCAACCCTGCTTCGAGTCACCACCATCTCACTCCTGGATTTACTCCAGAGCCTCCTAACAGGCCTCTCTGCTACCTTTGCCCCTGTGGTCTGTTTTCCACCCAGCAGCTAGAGTGAGCCTTTTAAGGCCCGAGTCTGTTGGGAAGCACGTCTGTGGTCTTCTCATGTCCCTTAGAAGAAAAGCCATAATGCCTGCCGGGCTCACAGGGGTCCCCAGGCCCATACCTGGCCACCCGCCACCCTGTCCGACCTCATCTCCAGCTCCCCATGGGCCCGCCTGCCATCCTGTGACTACAAGAGGCACGTCCTGGCCTGAGCACTTGCTGTTTCCTGTGTTAGAATGTTCTTCCCTTCTTTAATGCTCTCTTATCTCTGTTCACATGTCACTGTATCAAACAGCCCAGACCTGACTTCCTTTTATAAAATAGTAAGACCTCATCTCCCCCAGGCCACACCTCTGATGCTCCAGACCTCTCATTTCTGCTTTATTTTTACCAGAGTATATATCATCATCTGGCATATCTTTGTTTGATTTGTTATCGGCATTTTCTCCCATTAAAATATAAGTTCCATGAGAGTAGGGACTTTGTTTTGTTCACTGCTATATCCCAAGTTACTATAACAGTGCCTTGAATGCAATCGGTGATCAATATCTCTTTATGGAATGATGTGGAATAAAAGTGTTCAGAAAATACAATACAAACTAAGGCACTACTCCTATCTCTCCACCAGGTGGCACCATGTTCTGTAGCAAATGCAGCTGCCACACAGAGGCAGCCACAAGGAAAAATTTGACAGACCACAAACCTGCCAGCCTGAGGCTGGTCAGTCAGAGAGGTGAGCCAGGTTATCTAAGGTCCCCGGAATGACCCGGTTTCCGTAGTTGGCAAGTGTGTTGAGCCTCTAAAAAGGGACTGGGTATGGACGAAGCCTTAAAACCCATCAACCCATCCTGTCCCACTGCAAGTCAGAGGGTAGCAGCCTCTAGAGTCTAGCTGTCCTAGCCTTTGGCCACAGCAGAGCCTTCCTCCGCACTACCTACTCGCCCCTGTGCCACGCCAGGCCCCCTACTTCTAAACCAGTCCAGCCGCTGTGCCCTCCACTCTCCCTGATTCTCAGTGGGGAAGGAGCAGGCAGAGTGTGGAAGATTCACAGGGCATGCTGGGACTCTCACCTCTTTGGGGGCTTCGCTGCAAATGAACTCCTCAAAGATCCGGTGGGCCCTGGAGGCCAGCTTGGAGGCCGACCGGATCTTCTTGAACTCCTCACACGCGAGCCAGAACTCTAGGTTCTCTTCGCTGAACTCTGTCTTCAGGAAAGCGTGGAAAGCGGCCACTCCATCTGGATTTGTGGGGAGAGAGGAGGAAACAGGTCAGACTGGGGGACAGCAGGGAGGGAAAGAAGAAAGGACAGCGATTGCAGTTAATGGCTCTATTTTTAGACTGCAATCTTCTTGAACAAGGACCTGCCTTTGTGCTTTAAATAGAGGCTGGTGCACGAGGAGATCATTATTATTCCTACTACTACTACTATTATTCTGCCCGTGCAGTCAGCATCAAAAGCACACGAGGCTGGACCCAAAGCACACAAGGACACACGTGCCACCCTCAGACAGACACCATGAATCCTACTCACTTTTACTGCTCAGCAGCAAGTCGAACGACTCTCTCCACCGCAGCACATCTTCTGAGAAGTTTCTACTGAAAAAAAAGAAAGAGAAAAAAGTAAGCGAAGATTTTAAAATAAAATAAAAAATCAACAAACCAAAGCACAGCAAAAATCCTAGCTGAGAAGTCACATGATTCACACAAAGGCCTTCTTGGTGGCTGTTGAAAATAACTCCTCAAACTCTCAGTTGGAGTTAGGGTAAACAGTCATGTTCCTGGAGGGCAATTCAGCAAGAAGCTGAAGCGAGGGACTCTTTAGTCCCCAGACAGAATCGCTAAGGATGTCTCTACTCTGTCCAAATATTGCTTCTATTCCCCTGACTCTCTGAGCTTTGCTTTGTACCCCCCTCCCCAAGGAAATAAGGGCCTCATGAATAGAGATTACACCTGTCCCATGTCCCCAAAGCCTGTCCCAACTGATGTCCAACATGAAAGGCCTTCTAGGCATGGTGCATGCTAATGGAAGTAGAGTCATTCATTTAAAATACCAAGTGGTCTTGGACCCTGTCCTAGCCCAGGATGCACCTGTAATGACAGCTCCAGGTGGGAGTGTCTGGCAAGGAGACATTCATGCCCTGTGTGCCATTACCTGCTGGGGACTGAGAGCCCCCTGCCCACTCGCCCGTGAGCCACAGAGTCACGGCAGACCGGCAACAAGTCTCCCTGAAGTCTCCAGAGAGGGACTGCCAAGGTCCACCTAGCATGTCCTAGTTTCTCCTTGGATTTTCCTTCTGGTGACTCCTTCCCTTAGTCTGGCTACCTCCCCGGGAGGTCCTGGGCTAATCAGCAGAACATACCTGTCTTTGCTGTGTTTGCTGGCCCACTCGAGCTTGCCAATGCTACCAGCATCAGAGCCCAGCTCTGATTTGTGAAGAAAGATCCCCAGCCGTGTCTTGAACTCCTTGGCTCTGAAAGATGAACCATGAGCATGTAAGGATTCTCCATTTGCTCAGCCAGTGCACAGAGGTTTACTGCGTCCCACTAGAGCTCTGGCTGGTGCCACTCAGATTTCAGCCTCAAGAGTTCCTTCCTGGGATCAAACAGTGCTTTTCTCATTAGTGTCACCAACCCCAAAGCACCAAAAACCAGGTTAGAGCTGGGCCTTGGTGGGTCATACACTTTCTAGGTTTACAGCACTGCCTGCATTTGCTTTTTCCCACTTAGATCACACGGATCTATCTGTGTGCCTGTTGATTAGCAAAAGGCAACTCAGCATCCTCTAGGCCTGTCGGGTATTTCTAGAACTGTGTGAAAACTCATTTCCATCTTCATCTATACCTTTTCCTTCCCAGCCATCAGCTCCATTAAAGACTGTAGGCTGTTGAGTAGCTCCTGGGAAATGGGTGCACCCTCACCGGTGGGACCCTCCCCCCCAGAAAAACCTCCCTGCCTTCCCAGGGCCAGAGGAGCCCATGCCTCTAGCTCTGGGCTGAGGAATGAAATCCAAGGGTTTAAGAAAAGGGCCGACTGTTCTTCCAGGAAATGCCAACGTGGTCTTCCTACAGCCTCTTCAGCAGGTCACCTGAGAAAGTCTGCAGTCTGTCAAGGATGAGATGGGCCCTCTGCTCCCCTTTTCCTGCTCCTGGCATCTGGGCACGTGGCATCTATTTCGCCTGCCTCTCCACTCCAGTCTCCAGCTCTCCATCCCCGCGCCCACCCGGGTCCCTTCAGCTCTCTAGGAGTTGGTGGGATTATAGAGTTCTTCCTCAGGGCAGTTGTACGACCTCCTCTTACCTCTCCAGGCAGGTGGTGGGGAAGGCGGCCAGGGTGCGGCACATGGTTACGAGAGCAGGACAGCACGTCGCGGGGAGGATGGTGGCGGACTCTGGTGGGCTCGGCTGCAGAGGTTAGACAACTTGGCCGGATTGATCAGCCTGCACGCGCCGGACGGCTGCTGCCGCGGCTTTTATTTCTTCGGAGGGGGCGGGGCCAGGCGCTTCTGACCAATCGGAGGGCGGAGGCGGAGCTCAGGCGTCCGACGGGCGGGGCGCGCCGTTCACACTAGGGGGCTTGCAGCCCGGCGGGCGGGGCTGTCCGTCCTCCCCCGGAGACGCGGCGTGGGGAGGGAGGAACGGCAGGGAAGTGGCGCGGAGACGGGACGTGCACGCCCGGTTTTATAGGAAGACAACCCTGCCGACCTCTGGTAACAGCAGAAGGCCAAGGCAGGGGTGTTGAGATAGTTGGGGTGGGGGTGGGGGGGCTGGGTGGCAGGAAAGTCTGAGCCTGTTGGGTCCTGAAGGACAGAAGTGCAGGGTGCAATCCAGGGAAAACAGCATCGTGGTTATACTGATAACTACCCTTTGCTGTACCCCTACCCCAGTACACCTATCATCATCATCTCCATTTTATAGCTGAGGAAACAGAATCAGAAAGCTAAAGAGACTTGCCCAAGATCAGAGTTGGAAACAGCAGACGTATGATAGGGAGAGGGGTAACAGTTTTACTGAACACCTGCTATGTGCCCAGCACACAACCTAAGTTGTAGGTTAAATAACAAAGATAAGCAGTTAATAAGTTCTGGCACCAGAATTTAATATGAATTTACCATGCTTTTTCCATTGCCAAAAGACAGAGAGAGAGAATTCTACACACACACCCCCCCCCCCCCCCCCCCCCCCCCCCCCCGCAGTGATCCTGGGTTAAGCAATTGCTAAGTGAGTGTCTCCACCTCTCACCTAAAAACGCCCTGCCTCTGTCCTCACTGAAGCCCCGCAGTTCCCTTTGGGATTGCCATGAAACTGCTGCATGTGAGGTTAAGAGTACAGGTTCTAGAGCTGGATTTTCAGATTTCAAGTCAAGACTTCATAGGAGACCTTGGGTGACCTTCTTAACCTTTCCTTGCCTCTATTTTCTTGTTTCTTAAGAAGATAATACTGACATTTCATTCCCTTCATTTTATCAGATGGTTGTGAGGACAAAATACGTTAATGCTTAACCGGACTCTGAGGCAGAGATTTGCATGCAGGAGGTTTAGTGGGGCGAGCTCTTGAAACTGAGAGGGTGTGAGGGAAGCAGGGCTGGACAGGGGGGAGGAGTTGGAGGCCAGTCATTTCAAAAAAGACTCCAGCTGGGCCCAGGGCATGCTCTGATGTTCATCTGGCCCTTCTGAAGTGTCTACAACAGTCATTCACTGGACACAGCTGCCCAGTAATATGGCCTGATCTTAAGCAAGGCAGCTCCCTTTGCAAAGAGTAGCTCCTAGAGAGGGCCTGCAACAGACAACACACTGGGGGATGACAGCCAAGCAAGGCATCTAGTGGCACACCACAGTGTCCACAACAGCATGTAAGTTTCTTAGAACAGTGCTCAACATGTAGTCAGTACTCGATACATGTTAGTTTTCAGTTTTACTTAATAAGGACACTGGGATTGCTAGACAATCAAGAAAGATGGTGAGTTTTTGCATGAAACCAACCCAGCTGTCCATTGACAGTGGACTGGATAAAGAAAATGTGGTACATATGCACAATAAAATACTACAGAGCCATAAAGAACAAAATCATGTCCTTTGCAACAACATGGATGCAGCTGGAGACCATAATACTAAGTGAACTATCACAGAACCAAACTAAATACTGCATGTTCTCACTCATAAGTGAGCCCTGATCACGGGTCACGTGAGCACAAAGGTGGAAACAACAGACACTGGACACTGCTGAAGGAAGGAAGGAGGGAGGAGGGCTAAGAGGCACACCACCACACACTGGGTACCAGGTCCACAATCAGGAGGAGAGAGGGCCCGCTAGAAGCCCAAACCCCACTTGCACACAATTTCCACATGTAGCAAATCTTCGCATGAACCCCACAACTCTAAAATTTAAAAAAATAAATAAATGAAAACTAGTGAGTTTTTGGTGCCTCTTGGATAAAAAAAATAGGTTATTTCATAAGGGACATCTAAGAGTTGCTATTCCTCAGCAAGACCTGCTCTGTGTTCCTGTATGTCAAGGGTCAGAAAAGAAAGAAGCAAGGGGAAGAGAAGAGGTTCCCCGCCCAAAAGAGCTTGGTGAGAAAAGGCAGGATGGGAAGCAAGGGAAAAGCCCACAGTGGGGGAAGAGCAGGGGGAGAGCTGTGAGACAGTGGTTGCGGCCACTGGAGCAAGAGAGGCTGAAATCAGAACACTGTGCAGAATCATTTGTCAAAGTCAATATCCTTGCTAAGTCAGGGCCTGGAGAAGCTGCCCCAGTGAGTCCAAATAGATGCACTCTGAAGAGTTTTGCTGTTTTCTTTTTTTATTTTGTTTTGTTTGTTAGAGATATGGTCTCACTATTTTGCCCAGGCTGGTCTTGAACCCCTGGCTTCTGGACTTAAGGGATCCTACTGCTTCAGCCTCTCAGGTGGCTGGGACTACAGGTGCGCACCACCATGTCCGGCAAAGTTATTACCCTTCCCCACCTCCTGCTCACTGGATAACAGAGACAGATGCAGCCACGGCCTCTCCCATGGCAGTGCCATCTCAGATGTCACTGGCCCCCACCCTATCTTGCCAGCCAAGGCTCTCTTTCTTCCTTTCTCACAAGTGCAGGACTGGGTTGGTGTGGGGGCAGGCACTCGTGATGCGCAAGGGTTGGGAGTGAGTAGTGGTGTGCCAGTAGACAGTGGAAGGACCCCTTTTTGAACATGTGTGTCTCTGCACAGTCCTTCATCCACACGAGGAAGCAGCCGCCCAGCCCCATCAGTGGGACCTTCTGCTGGGGAAGCTGCTGGCCAAGGCGAGGGCTGTTGATTCACCTGGTGCTGCTCATGCCCCGAAGCACGTTTTTACCACACAGCTGCCAGGTGGGGATGTGGGTGTTGTCTGAGAACCAGCTTTTCTCCATTTGACAAAAACGTGTTTGTGGATGGATCAAATGCCCAGTCTCACGCTCAGTAGCACCGTGTTTGAATCAGCCCAGACATGGTCAGACGACAACAAAAATAGAAATTATCTAGAGAATATCCTCAAACCTTCCTGTTCTGTCTGCATCCCTGTGAACAAGCCACAGAAGGTTGTTAATTTCTATTTTGCATACATATAGCAAAACAGTAACGCCTGGGGCACCCTTCGTTAAGTGCGGTGAAACTAAAAACAGCTGGAAACAGTGCCCTATCTCCGGGTTCTTGAGCTGTACTTTCTCCTATTTGACAAAGAAAGGGAAAGAGACAAAGAAATGGATGCATGGTGCGCAGACAGGCGGATTTGAGAGCACAAAGCTCCCTGCTCAAGATGAAGAGCCCTCTCCCAGTTCAACCTGGCTCCCGGTTGCCATGGTTACCTCTTCAGTTTCCAGGCAGAAACTTTTTGAACTTCACAATTTATCCCAAATTCTCTTCCCAGCAGGTCGGTTCGTATCTACAATTTCAGTAATGCGGGATGACTCGACATCTGCTGTAAAGCCAGCAAACTGAGCTCACTTGTGAATTGCACTGGCTTTGACAAAACCTGACCTCATTTTTGTCCAGCACCATCAGGGCAGCTACGATCTCTTTAATGGACAGCGGCGTGGGGACACAGCTCTGCTCCCTGGGTCACCTGGGGTCAGCAATCTGGGCAAAGCTGCGGTCAGGATTAAACGTGCTACGACGTCCCCACTACATTGCCTTCTGTTTCCTTTAGGCCTCGGCCGCCCAACACCACCCTTACCACAGAGGCAGAAGTCTAGGCAGGATCTTTGTCTACTGAAAATGGCTAGGGGGAATGAAAACACTGTCTTGATTTCTGATTCAGCTCAGATGATCCCCACAGAGGTCTGGATCCTCCAAGTTCTATCATCAATCTACCAATAAATATGTCTTAAGCATGTACTATATACTATATTCCCAAGTTGGTGGGGAAACATCAGCTTTGAAGCCTCTTCCCTGGCTTCACGGACCTTATCATCTAGCTGGGGAAATAGAACTACTCGTGCACAGGTGGGGGTGAGGCTAGAAGGAAAGGAAACTATTATTTGTTGCTGGACCAGATGTCAAGGGAAGAGGCTGATCAGAGAGGGCTGGCGGTATTGAAGAAGGAGTGAGGGAGTGTTAGTGGCCACGGTGAGGTTCAGATGCAGGACAGTTAGGAGGCACATGCTTGAAATGAGAGAAACAGCTAGGAAAAGCTGTTGTAATTGGGGGTACAGCAAAGTGCAGAAAGATAAAGAAATTCCTTACATATTAGCAGCTTAGGCTGTGGGACACAGTTGGCTGCCACTTTAGGTGTAGGTACATTAACTAAAGGAGCAGCACGTGTCCTGCAGCAGCTGGGTGAGGAGGCACTGATCACCTCCTGTGGAGGCGAAATAGGCAGTCCCTGAGGACATTTCTCTGCTGGGTCATGACAAAAACTTTGGGCACCATCTCCTCCTGGCAGAGGAAGTTGACCAAGTTCAGCTTGGGTGCAGGAAATGACTGTTTTTCCCTGATTATCCTTTAGGTCACTGGGTGCAACTTGCTGTGCTGTTGTATTAGTCCTCTCTGACTTCTCTTTCTTCCCCAACCTCGGGCTTGGAGGATGATGTCCAGACACGACTGTAAGGCATCTGAGGCTCTAACCACCTGGTCTCACGACCTTTGCCTCACACCCTAAACTCTATGCCGCCTTACACCTACCAACCCTGAGTGTGAGAATCTCTCAACCTGGAGGTCCCTCCCCACCCTGCCCTACTCATTTAAAAAATATTTTCCAATAAATTCTTTTACTTATATATAGAAATGTAACCTACATATGATAAAAATGCACAGATCTTAAGTGTACAGTTAGATGAGTTTTGACAAATGTATACACCCATGTAACCAGTACTCAATCAAGCCACAAAACACTTCCATCACTCTCTCATGCCCCCTTCAACCAATCCCTCCCCCAAGCAGAGGCAACCA